TGATGGATATTAGGGAGTTCTACTACCAAAAATAGTTTGAGCTTGTCTGTACAAGCGGATCGAAAGTTATAGTCAAAATAGAGGCCGTTACGAAATTTCAAAAAATGAACGTGTTTTTTCGGGATAGTCCAGTAATGTGTAAATTATTCAGCCTTAAATTAATTTTAAAATGATTGCTGAGTTTCTGAATTAAAGCTCACAGTTTGGGCTATCAGAATCACTACGAACTTTTTCTTGAATTAGTTCCCTGGCAGTGAGAATCGAATAAAAATGACCGTTACGGAATTTAACAATTTTTGCTCTTCTTTGCAGATGGTTTGGTATATATTTTTTCTGTCACAGAACCACTTAGCAAGCTCTGATTTGCACATAGACAGATAGTTTGTGGTGCGCTTCATCCCATGCAGCCAAAAATAAATTTTCAAAGTTAGATTAAATGGGCATAAACTTGCTCACAAAATAAGCACCAAAACGTTTTTTAGAAGAAAAAAAACATTGGCATCTAAACGCCAAAACAAATGAACCCTTTGGTAGATTTGATTCTCTATCCGAGGGTATAGTTTTCAGAATTTTTGGAAAAAATATTTAGGTCAGAAAATTAAATTTAAATTTTCACCACGAAGATCTGACTTTCATTTGTTTTTTAGTCCAGATTTGTAATCACAGTGAAAAACTAAAATTCGAACCTTGTCATTGAACTGTTAGCTGGCCACGCCGCTAGGCCAAAAGAACCCATACTATAACTATTTAACTCAATACTTCATTTTTTTCCCAAAACAAGTCGAGTTCAAAGCCTTTGTGCACTGCTAAAAGTTATTTGCTGCCGAGTACCTTTGCGACTCATTATTCCGCTCATAATTCGATGTTAATATGATTAACAAAATTTATTTTGACTAAAAGAGTATGCTGGATTATGAGAAACATTTATTTGGTTACCGTAGAAAGTCATTAAACGGGTCTGTTTTGCTTTGCTGCGTTCGAAAATTGAGACGCACTTTAAAAACTAGTTTCTGACGGAGTAAGTAACGTAGCTAATAATTAGAGGGTATATATGACTCATCAGAGTGGGTATGAAGAACATCATTGGTGTTCAAGGCAACATCAAACTTCGGTGTGTCGAGCTCAATCATGTTGCTGGGACAGGTGGCATTTTTGTGCTTTTCAAAAATTTCTTTGTTTGTCGGTGAGACGTAAAATATTTGCAGGTGTCAATGTGACTTTAGAGAATAATTGACTATACATAACGGTCAAGAAATAACAAGCAAAAGCCAACCTATGTAATGTTTTCGATCATTTCACGGTTCAGATAAACATTGAGGTAATATTATTGTGAGTCCGTCGATGGCAAAGCTTTGTCACGTCCGAAATCGAAACAAAAGTTTTTTGGAGGATGCTGTCTTGTGAGAGTTGCATAGTTCCGAGAATCACGAACGCTTATGATTCGACTGTGATAATCACCCATCGTCTTAAATTATCCCGGAGACAATTCTATCTGTTTTTATTCTATTATAATAAAGAAATCTATAGCATAACAAGTAGAGAATCACTCCGAAAAACAAATCATTGTTGACCACAAGTCAACAGAAATCTTCACGACTTCGGAACCCACGAAATTGTTTTATCGTCGACTGACAGTTTTGTCCATAAGCATTTTGTTGAAAGTGAATTATTTTTTTCTTCTCATCTCGCGGCAATAGTTCAAATGTGTCTCCTAATTAATTTTGTTTGTTTGTGTTTCTTAATAAACTTGACATATAATATTTATGTTATATGAAACATCTTTTCCTATAAAACCAAATTTATTATATTATAATCGTAAGTCTATAATTCTGGCTTAGGGAATTGGTCGGAATCAATCAGAAAGATGTGGAGAAACCATCGTATTCCATCGAAACCGGGCCGTACACATTCATCTGAGATCATCTGAGTTAACTGCAGAAGTCATTCATCGACGAACTGTTGCGTTAATCCTAATGTTTTGTCTACCAACAACATAATTACGGTTTATTCTCTATTGCTGTCGATCACTTCAGGAAGGCGAACGATGGCGGAAACTGATTGTGTGATTTCAAAATAATTTCTTATGAACTGCGAAACTTAAGTGCACTTGAAGATTTGAGCGAGTTAAATTGATGAACCATCAATATATAGAAAATTTGGTTTTGTTTAGATCTATTTGATAATCCCGTGATTTTTGTTCGTGGTTATAAATCCACAATGATTGATTTACTTCCAAAACTACGAGTGCGTGATTGAAAAAGTATTTTAAAAAAAACGAGTTTATATCATTTTGTTGTTTATTGTTATTTATCGGTGTCAAATGCTGATCGACGAAAAATTCTTGATCGTATTGGATTTGCTTTTCATCTCGAGCCAAAGCAAGAAAAATATTCAACAGAACGAAATGTTTCATAAGTACCAATCCAATAAACAACAAAACCGACGGTACAAATAAAAGAAAACGATCAAGATGAAAAATCTCGAGTAAACATTTTTAAATATTCTTTTAATTATATTTTTTCTTTTGAATAGACAATCGTTAAATGATGCAGTACGTAATTGAGCCTTATGACGAAGTCTTACTGAATATTCACAATTTGATTGGAACAAAATTCCAATAGGTGCGGAAAAGCGTTTGATAGAAGCACAAAATGCAGTAACACAACCCGATGTTATTTCTATCTTCTTTCAATAATATATTTTTATATTTATATAACTATTTTTTTATCCACATATTCATTTAATAAATATAACTTCCACTACAATAGCTCATGAAACGGCTCAGAACGCTTTCGATTCAGGTGAAGAATGATCATATATCGAGAAGAAAGCATTTCATAATAATGTGGAACGGCAAAGAACGCTTTTCTCCAAGTGCGGAACGTCATGTTGCCACTTAAAAACGTGTTCACTTAACTACAGAACGCGTTCTCTGTAAATAAAACAGCTTTTCATATTTTATGAACGCGCTTAGTTGTGTTCTTTTTCATGAGCATTTTCCACTGGGAAAGGAATACATCGATTTTACAGAATATCCTATCAAATCTATGTGTTGTTTAATGTGGAATTTATGCAAGATGTTTGTGTTTTCCGCCACGCTCACTTCAGACTGCCATTTACCAAACTCAAAAGTAAAAGACGGATATTTCCGTCAGAGTTTCCATTCCAAGATAGATCTATGCAGATTTGACGCAGCTACCTGATGAGATCCATGAACCTTGTAGCAAAGCGTCTTGGTAGCTTAGAAACTGACGACTCATCTTGAACCTCACCTTCGTATAATGTAAATGTCTGGAAATCGTCACTTCATGCCCTTACCTTTGACATCACAAAATAATAACATCAACGATACAAGGCGGACATTTTTTGAAAGACCTGTTTCAGAAAACTCCGCACTTTCAGTGATTGACGATGATTGGTTCGATTACCCTCAACTATTCAAACTATGTAATAGGCAAAGCAGCAATTGCAGAATGCCTACCCAACAGAATTCAGAATTCTGTAGACTTATGTATTTTTTCTCTATTAAGAGTTGTAAGTAATCACGTTTGAATTCTGCAGTATAAAATAGAATTCTGTCAAAATTCTGCTACCATTTTTGAATTCTCAGCAGAGTTTTGTTTCTCGAAGTGAGTCGTGTGTGATAGAGTTAATTGTATAATGCGGAGCTTAGAATTTTGGCATAGTTCTGAAGTGTTTTTTGATTTTTTGATAGACCTCTGTTGTAACAGCATTATTTTCATCCGGCAGTAGGTGTGTATTGAAAAATTATGTTGCATTCTCGATTACGCTTGATCTATTATCTAATATGCATAAGTCTACAAAATTCTGAATTCTGCAGCCCCTCAAGCAAAGATGAGTATAGCCGATACATACATAGATACAAACATTTTATTTGAAAAAATCATCAACTATACGTAGATTTTTCATGGATACATTGGGTATTGTAATATTCCAACGCATAAAAAATACATAAAAGAGAAAAATGCATATAATAAAATGGAAAGATAGGAAGAAATGTCACGATGGAGCACTGCACATGACGCCACTATGTTGACGGATTCGATGAGCGAAAATTTGAATATTTTGGTTACTTGATTATATTCTGAATAATAAATTGATTGTTATGTAATTACATTAAATCTAAACTTGATCATTTGTAGAATAAAAATCATATTCATGGTACAATTAACAATGATCAAGTTCAGATTTAATGTAATTACATAACAATCAATTTATTATTCAGAATATAATCAAGTAACCAGAATATTCAAATTTTCGCTCATCGAATCCGTCAACATAGTGGCGTCATGTGCAGTGCTCCATCGTGACATTTCTTCCTATCTTTCCATTTTATTATATGCATTTTTCTCTTTTATGTATTTTTTATGCGTTGGAATATTACAATACCCAATGTATCCATGAAAAATCTACGTATAGTTGATGATTTTTTCAAATAAAATGTTTGTATCTATGTATGTATCGGTTATACTCATCTTTGCTTGAGGGGCTGCAGAATTCAGAATTTTGTAGACTTATGCATATTAGATAATAGATCAAGCGTAATCGAGAATGCAACATAATTTTTCAAATGCTTTCGAAAATAGCTGAGGATTATCTGCTATGTTTTTTGCTCTCTCGTTACGAAGATCATCAATAGATTTTGCGGTACCTCGATTTTCTAATAGTTTTTGAATAACAGCATAACCACAATCATTATTTTCGCTTGGAATATCGATTATGGTACGATTACTTAACATAAGTTGAAAGTGTCCTATACCATTATCATTCTGTCCTTTAGTGTATACGATATGGCCGTACCGTTTCTCTTATCTTCTTCTGTAGGTTGATAATTGACATCTACTAATTTGATATCTAAATCATTCTTAACAGCAATTGCTATCATATCGGCTAGGTTTGCTGGTTTACCTTTTCTAATGTTTTCAATGTATTCTTCTGTTTTCGCATCTAGTTTTCCATGGCCAGTTCTATCTGGTTGTTGTTGAGAATGATGAATAATCTCACATTAACTATATGCAATGGTGTAATCTCTGGCATTACAGTTAATTTGTTTCGCAATAGTGTTGTATTTACTCTCACCATTTTCTTGCTTGTCTCGATTTTGACTATCGGAATTTTGTTTTTCATCGACAGTAAAATGATGTTGTACTCTCTCTGAAATAGACTTCGTCAGCTCCTCCACACCATAGCTAGTCTACGGGGAGAGAAGTTGCGAGTCTGTAATTCGAAATATTTGTTCTGTAATCCTATCCGATACTAATCTCATTATTTCACTGAACTCATTGAATTCTGCACTCAACATATGTCTATTTAATGACTTTAAAAAATCGACAACTTTTCTTTTATACAAATGGAATTTGCTAAAATCGACATTATTTATTTTTCTGGAAAACCTTTCAACATCTAGTTCTTCCTTTAGATCTGATATACCTTCTTTCTGAAGAAGAGTTACGATTTCATTGACATCTTCTTTATTGATTTCGCAATAGCGATGTAAAAGCTGATCCACTGATAAAGTCTCTCTATCTATTTCCGAGAGTTTTTGAAGAAGTTGGTCATAGACCTTATCGATAATAAAGGTAATTTCATACATCCCATTCAGAGTACCAAGTATCCTTATACTCATGCTTGCTGGACCGCGTATTCTATCTACACTTGAAAGAATGCCTTTGCATAAGGGACCACCAATAGAATCCCACTGTTTGCGCAAGAATTTATGTTCAGGATTTATGATTTCAACTACTATTTTACTTATTTTCTCTTTAAGTAGTTGTTGTTTATTAAGTGAGTCAATTGCATACATCTTACGCACTATTTTCAGTAAGTTAGGCTCACAAAACTTACTACTAACTTTGCTTTGTATTGAAGCGGAAAGTTGCGGTTTCAACTGTTCCAATACAAAATGTGAGCTAACATCGGCCGCTTTGTTTAAGCCTTCTCTTACTGCAGTTTCCCCAACTGTTACTCCGATTTGTTTAACAGCGAGACTTTTCAAATTTTTTCCAGTTTCAACAACTACTTGACTTACAGCTTTTCCATCTGTTATTAGTTTTGTACCTGCTTGTTCAAGCACTTCTTCTCCTACACTTGTCACTAAAGTCTGAACTCCTTTACCTGCATTTTTGATTGCTGAGAATCCCATTGTAGCTGCTGAGATAACAAGACTTACTGCTTTTTGCTTTCTGTAATCTGACCAACTAAATTGTCTGATGCTATAGGCTCGATAAGCAGTGAACAAATCCGCTGCTCCTTCTGTGATTAAACCCATTCCTACCGTGGCAAAACCAATTCTGGTGCAAAACCTACCAACTCTCAGCCTTATCGCATGGCTCCACTTAAACAAGCTCATGCATCAACTGCAGTTGACGACATGTTACACGATGATGTCATCTCATCGTCGTCTAGCCCATGGGCTGCTCCCGTTGTTCTTGCCCCCAAAAAGGATGGTACGCTCCGTTTTTGTGTGGA